CCAATAGCAGCCTGGCTGCCGCATTCTACACTAGCTGTATCTTCCAAATTTGGGACAAGGGCAGCCCCATGTAGAGAGCATTACAGTAGTCAAGTCTCAAGGTGACCATTGCATGGATCACTGTTGCCAGGTTGTCGCATTCAAGGAAGGGAACCAACTGCCTGATCAGCTGAAGATGGTAAAAGGCCAACTTGGCAGTGACTGCTAATTGGGCCTCCATCATTAAGGAGGCATCCAAGAGCACTCGCAGACTCCTAACCTCCAATGCAGTGGTACCCCACTGAAAGTTAGTAGTGGGATCCCTAACCCTGGACCACTGCAGCTCAGGCATAGGACCTCCGTCTTTGTCAGATTCAGTTTCAGTCGGCTGAGCCAAAGCCACCCAGCTACAGCTTGTAATGCCAGGTCCAGATCTTACGGTTTTGAGTCAGACTGGCTGCCCAACAACAGATAGAACTGTGTGTCATCTGCATATTGGTGACATCCCAGCCCATGCCTCCGGGCAGTCTGGGTAAGGGGGCACATATAGATGTTAAATAACATTGGGGAGAGGACAGCCCCTTGTGGCACTCCCAGCTTCTGTTGCCTGAAAAACGCAGCAGTGTTCCATGTGGCACTGCATTACTTCCATTAGAATCCTAGAAATGACATAGGATAGCTCTCGGAATCACCAGAAACTCTATGGTTTTACTTCGTTAAATGAGTGATTAAAATGTGGAATTCACTGACAGAGGATGTAGTGATGCTCATGGGCACAAACATAGGGGTGCCAACCTCTAGATGGTGGCTGGGCAGTCTCCTGGGATTACAACTGATCACTAGGTGACAGGGATCAGTTCACCTGGAGATAATGGCCACTTTGGATGGTGAACTCTATGTCATCAGGGCTATTTTTGGGCAGGACCACACAGGAATGGAATTACAGCTGGCTTCAGAGTTGGCCACACCCACTACAGCCAAAACCTCTGTGTGCGTGGTTACAGAGGGAAGGCCTGGAGAGCAACCCCCCGGTGACTCTGAACCGGGCGGGCCAGGGGGGCTCCTGGAAGGATCGGGGAGGCATTTAAATGCCTCCCCATGCCTTCCTCAACCTGTCCAAGGGCCAGCTTGCCCAGGCTTCTCACAGCCGTGGGGCACCCAGGCAAGCCAAGGGATGCATGAGGGTGTGGCCTAATATGCTAATGAGCTGTGCTGTCAGGTGTGGCCTAATAGGCTAATGAGTTTCTGCTGTTGGGTGTGACATATTATGCTAATGAGCTCCTGCTGAGCTTTTTCTACAAAAAAAGCCCCGTATGTCATTATGCCCCATTGAACCCCCTCTCCTCCCTAAACCTAGCCTCTTCAGGCTTAGGGTTGCCAGGTCTGGGTTGGGAAATACCTGGAGACTTTGGGGGTGTAGCCAGGAGAGAGCAGGGTTTGGGAGGGGAGGGGCCTCAGCATAGTACAATGCCATGAAGTCCACCCTTCATAGCAGCCATTTTCTCCAGGGGAGCTGATCTCTGTCAGCTGGAGATCAGTTGTAAAAGCGGGAGATCCCCAGGCCCCACCTGGAGGCTACTACACTATACAAAGATTATTACTGTGATAAGTGCACTAAACTAAATAATACAGTACTGCAAAAATCAGAAAATATATACTGTTTAAATAAGTTAAAGTGATATACTTTTTTTACAAGGTTGGAATACAAAAATACAGTCAGTATCAAATAAACAGAAGTGGTTTTTAACAAAGCAAATGATGTTAATGACGTGCTCCAGAATGTCCTGTGTCGTTTCGACATTCCTTCTTCTGAACAAGATTCTATAGATAATTTCTAGTGTTTTGTCTCATCTATAAGAGTAGAAATGAAGCCTGATGCTCACATATTTTTTCTTCATAGGTCAATAACAAAGCACAATTGCTAGTAGAAAATTCATTTTGGGCGAGTTACAGTCAAATGGAATGCCTACAGTAATAACCCTTGTGTAGTTTAATATCCATATACTGTGTACCATACTCTGTTTGCTTAACCCTACCTGGAGGCTGGCAACCCTATTCAGGCTCCACCCTCAAAATCCAGGTATTTTCCAACCTGGAGCTGGCACCCCTACATAGACAGCTGTACAAGAGATTAGATGGATTCACAGAAGATAGGTCTATAAGAGGCTACTAGCCATGATGACTAAAAGGAACCTCCATGTTCAGAGGCAGTAAACCTCTGAAGGTCAGTGCCACAAGGCAACATCATAGGTCTGATTCAGCAGGGCTCTTCTTATGTTCTTATGAGGTTTTTGGCAATTCCTATAGCTACCCATCATCGTGCTGCAGCGCTGCCCCCACCATGTTCCTGCCCACAAACCCTCCGGCTGGTTGGTCTAGCACCCCTATACAGGAATGTTAATAAGATTTCACTTAAACAATAAATGTAGTTGATTTTTTCCTGTTAAAGAAATGGTTCAGTTATTTTAGCTGTCACAAAAGAAGTACTCAAAAACTACATTTTAATTATCTGTGTTACACTGCTAGTGTGTCTCAAAGTAGAAGTGAACGATTTCATAGTGTTGAATTCTGATTCAGAATATTTAAGGTGCATATATAATAACTAGTGTTATTAAAGATATTGCTTATTTTGAATATATTAAATATAAGATAGCATGTAACAAGCAGTTTTAACTATCTACAAATGCTGTTCTTAACACTGATGTTTTCACTCAAAATAAACAAATTTGGCATTGTGAGGAAAAAAACTTAATCTATTAAAACCATAGATTTCCCGCCATTGATTTCAAGGCAAGTCAGATCACACTCATGGATTGTTTTATTAATGAGTGGATTCATGGAATCAGTACATAAACAAAATCAGTGCATGGAATTGATTGGTTTTATTGGTCATTTTATGACTAAAACCAGGTGTGTTAGAATTTTTACTTGATAAGAGCTTACTAAAACTGACCCCCACAAATGCAATGTTTCCAGCAATGGAACTCATTTCGGAGCACTGATACTTTTCATAGAAGATAGTCTCCCAGATAATGGAAACACCTTTCCAGGTTATTGCTACTTTTTAATCTGTGGGTGTATACCAGAACATACACCAGAACATTAAGAACATAAGAGAAGCCAATGTTGGATCAGGCTAATGGCCCATCCAGTCTAACACTCTGTGTCACACAGTGGCCAAAAACCAGGTGCCATCAGGAGGTTCACTGGCAGGGCCAGGCTGCAGAAGCCCTCCCACTGTTGCCCCCCCCCAAGCACCAAGAATACACAGCATCACTTACACAGACATATATAGTGTTCCAACTATACCTTGTGGCTAATAGCCACTGATGGACCTCTGCTCCATATGTTTAACCAATCCCCTCTTGAAGCTGTCTATGCTTGTAGCCACCACCATGTCTTGTGGCAGTGAATTCCACATGTTAATTACTCTTTAGGTGAAAAGGTACTTTTATCTGTTCTAAGCTTACTGCTCGTTAATTTCATTGAGTGCCCATGAGTTCTTGTATTGTGAGAAAGGGAGAAAAGTACTTCTTGCTCTGCATTCACTATCCCATGAATAATTTTGTAAACCTCTGTCATGTCACCCCTCAGTCGTCGTTTCTCCAAGCTAACGAGCCCTAACTTCTTTAACCTTTCTTCATAGCGAAGATGTTCCATCCCCTTAATCTTTAGTTGCCCTTTTCTGCACTTTTCCCAATGCTATATTATTGTTGTTTTTTTGAGGTGCAGTGATCAGAACAGTTACACGATATTCGAAATGTGGCTGCACCATAGATGTATTATGGACATTATGATACTGGCTGATTTGTTTTCAATCTGCTTTCTAATAATCCCCAGTGTACCATTTGTCTTTTTTTATTACAGTCACACACTGAGTTGACATTTTCAGTGAGTTATCTACCACAACTCCAAGATCTCTCTCCTGGTCAGTTACCCCAATTCACACCCAATCAACATATATTTATAGTTAGAGTTTTTTAGTTCCATGTGCATTACTTTGCACTTGCCCATATTGAACCTTATTTGCTGCGCTGATGCCAGCTCACCCAGCCTCAACAGATCCCTCACAGTCCTCCATGGTTCTCACTGCCCCGAACAATGTAGTGTCATCCACAAACTTCACTGCTTACTTCCAACTCCAAATCATTAATGAACAAGTTAAAAAGCACCAGACCTAGTACTGAGCCCAACGGTACCCCACTGCTTACCACCTTCCACATTCTTTTAGATTAGTGCCTGCACATAATTTTCCAACTAAGTTTATATGATCTGGTTGCTCTGACCATGATGAATGGCTGTTTTCTATGCCTTCTCTCCTCTGTGGCTTGCCTATCTGTCGCTTCAGTATCTAGCTTTGGTTCCTGAGTAAGAATCTATATCTAACTATTTTTTCAAATGTGTTTTAACCAGAATTAATTTTCTTGAGTTTTTAGCTGTCTAGACAATAGTGTGCATTCATGTTTAAAATATCCTTTCTTAAACACTTTGTCTCCCACAATCATGTCTGTGGATGCTGAGAGATGGATGGATGGATTGGGGGGGGGGGAGAGATGCAACAAGGCATAAAATAAAGGGGAAAATATGCTATGAAGGTAGACATGCTGGCTTCTTCCTGGATCAGAAATTTGAAATTACCAGTATACTGTAGAACAGGCAGATAGTTTTCAAAACATCGAGGAATTAAAACAATTCATAGAAAATGAATAAAATATACATCTGTACATTCCACCAGCATTTTTGTACAAAGCCTGCCAATTGAAATCCACCGATTGCAGTAGGTTTAGGAGTGGACATTTGCAAGCAGAAATGAGTAATTTGAATTTTTCCTATACATTTAACTATGCTTAGGTCAGATGTGGCTGAACTTGAGTCAATTGCAAAACTTTAAAAGAAATTTGTGTGTTCTTTTATTTTTATTGGCTTCAGTCTGATAAATTCACAAAAGTACAGAGTCACATACTCTAACATCCTTATTTATGTTTCATGAATATTGACAAAATGTCTCTTTAAACTTGCAGCAAGTAGTGGCAGCAATAAATGCAGGAGTCATACCTATAGGAAACACGACTAATCACGTCAGTCATTGGGATTTGGGAAGTTCCTTCTTCTTTGCTGGCACTGTAATAACCACCATAGGTAGGACACAATTTATTATTATATTTTAACAGTGTATTCAACAAATCTAATTTTAGATTTACGTCTGTGTATTCTGTGGCAAATTGAATCAATTTTGATAATAATTTTGTATTTGCTTGGAAGTGCTGACTGAATTGCTGTTCATGTACATAAACTTTGCTGTACATATGCATATAAAAAGTCAATAGTGGTACAATAGCATCAATAGAAAGCAGATTTACTTCACTGTGTAGGAAATAATTCAGTTTCACTGTGTTAACAAATAATTAGAATATTTGTGTTTTAAAATAAATCTGTACTATAAACTATTGTTTTGGGTTTCTAGAAATGGCATACTTAATTTTATACAGCATTCATAAATTTTAAATTAGGCATTACAGTTCTGGGGAGTCAGGTCAGGAAATACAATTTTATGATAAGGCAGACCATCTTAAGTTTTATTAGACTTGTGGCTACATGCAAAAATTCAGGAACAGGATTGCTTCTAATATTTAATTTTATGCAACCTTTACTACAGATGCTACATGAACATTTGCACCATGCCAAACTAGACATGATGCCAGCAGACCCATGTGTTAAAACCTGGATCTTCCACAATCACATAAAAAGAAGCAGGTAGGGCCCTTTTTTTACAGCAAAGGACATGCCAGTGAAGTATGCAGAACTCTTCCCATCTGCATCTTACCTCTCCCACCGGCTGTTGTGGTAAGCACTTTTCTGGTCAGTGAAGGTTCAGTTCCGGAGATATATAGGGATGGGTTTGTGGCCAAACCACAAGCTGGACCATGAACTGATACAAACCAGGAGGTTGGTTTGTGAACTGACCCAGTTCGTAGCAGTTCATGACCCCGCTTTCTGCTCCCCGCCACTTTTGGTGGGGAGCAGAAAGCAGGAGTTTAGATGGCTCTGAGCCATTTAATCTAGTTTGGCTGCTAAAAGCAGCGGAGAGCAGAAAAGCAAGGACTTCCGTGCAAAAAGCGGCAGGGAACAGTGCCATTTAAACCCCTGCTTTCTGTTCTTGGTGAAAAACAGCTGAGTGGCTTTGAGCCATTTAAACCACTGCTTTCTGCTCTTCATGAACTGCCTTAAAATTCATGAAAGTTCATGGCAGCTGGCCAAATTTCATCACAAACTTACATTTGTGAGCCAGTTTGTGCCCATCCTAGAGGTATCCTCAGCTGGGAGAAAAGTGCTTGGAGAGAAGGAATGCAGTGAGCTAAGCTACGGGCATAGGGACAGTTTCCATGCCTCACCAGCATGCTTCCTTTGCTATTAAATTTAAACCACGATGCTTCTTGCTTTACATTCTGTTAGGGCAGTTCCATATTAGAATACATGAACTTGCTGCCATCACATCTAGTTTGGCTGCCAGTTAGCATCTTACAGCTTCTTTGAGTTCTTGGTCTTGATACTTTGTCCTCATGTTTATTTTTAAAGTAATTATCCTGTTTTGTACCCAGAATGCTACTGCAATTGAAGGAAAGGAGAGAGAGCTGATCCTGTTGGATAATGCTCAGTGATACCCTCTTTCCTACCTGACTGATTTTCCATCAGTGTTTGTTTCATGCATAGCTATACAAAGTACAGCTAAACTGTCTCCTTTCTCTAACTCTCCATGGCACTTCCATGAAGTACCAATGTGAAATCTTGAATGTTTAGCTCCTCCAGTGACATTCCAAAAGTGATGATGCTGCACATGCGTGGCCCCCACACACATGACCCAGTCCACATTTTCTTGCAGAGAAGCAATAGGATTGGTCTGCAACCGAAAGAGTACTTTCCCCGGAAAATTTAGGCAGACTCACCTGTGAATTAAGAAGGATGTTGCACAAAAAAGTGTCATTTGTAAAGTGTGGAATGTTGCATACGCTTTTAGTGCCACTGAGATTTTATTCTCATACTATCTTCTTTGCTTAGGAAACCTAAGTGCTGCATAATTTTTCATAGTGTGGCTGCAGGCCATTTTGGCTAAAGTTAATAAACTATTCTGGCATATTAAAGAAACTCACAAATGTAATGGTTTTCTTTCTATCTGAAACATTTAAGAACATTGGAACATCAAAATAGCCATGCTGGATGAGACCAGTGGTCCATCTAGTCCAGCATCCAGTCTCCAGTAGTGGCCAGTCATATACCACATGGAAGCCCACAGCAGTTCTTATAGACAGAAGTCTTCACTTTCTGGCTGCTCTCCAGAATCTGACAATCAGAGGCATCCTGTCTCTGAACTCAAAGATCCTGGCTAATATCCTGCATAGATCTGTCCTTTAAAATCCATCTAAACCAGTAGCCATCACATGTCATGGCAGTGAGCTCCTCAAGTCAACTACCCAATTACATAAAGAAGCGCTTTGTTTTGTCTGCCTTCTTGAATCTACTCTAAACCAGTTTCATAGGGTGAACCTGAGTTCTAGTACTATTGGAGAAGGAGAAATATTTCTCTTTATCTACTTTCTGTAAGCCATTTTCTAGACCTCTGTGATGTCACCCAGCAGTCCCCATTTTCTGATTTAGGATTTTAAACTGTAAATATTTGATGGAACAACACAATAAACTAGGCTTTGTTTCCAGCAACAGAATGTATGCAGTCCAGAGATCACATGCTTGGCCTTCTAAAGCTGTGATGGGAAGACATTTATTATGAACTGTGGTCGATAATTTTCCTATATTAACCAGTTCCTAAACTAGAAGGAATATAATTCTATCTTAAGCAACAGAGAATTCTCATGATAGTTTTGTATTTCAGTGTAGTGACACTCAGTTTCTGTCCCTTATCAGGAGATGTGACAGCACTGACAACTTGCAGTTTGTCTGAGAGGCTGCAATGCTCCAACAAGGCTAATGTTTTTGAAAATCATTTATCAGCGTAATTGACATTCTTTTTTAAAACAACAGGAATGCTTCTGAGAGTACTCAGGTGATTATTTTAGTAGCTTTACCAGGGCTATTTTGGGCAGGAACGCACAGGAACGGAGTTCCGGATGGCTCCCAAGTTGGCCACACCCAGCAGGAACTCATTAGCATAACAGGCCACACCCAGCAGTAGAAACTCATTAGAATTGGCTACATTAGGGGTGTGTGGCCTAACATGCGAAGGAGTTCCTGCTACAAAAAAAGCCCTGGGTTTTGACCACAAACAAGGTCAACAGAATAAGAAGGTGGGTGTGGCTGGATGACCACACTTCTGGTAACATGGGAATGCGGCCTAATATGCTAATGAGTTTCTGCTGCTGGGTGTGGCCTATTATGCTAATGAGTTCCTGCTGGACTTTCAGCACAGGGATCTCCAATGTGGTGCCCATGGGTGCCATGGTGCCAGCCAACACCTTTCCTGGTGTCCACCAAGTGTTTTTAGAAAGTGGGTTTTCTGCTCAGTATGTGTGAGAGAGAGACTGAAGGAGCAAGCAAGGCAGGCAAGAGAGAAGCTGCCGGAGCTTGGGGGGGGGAAGAGGGTAGGCTAGAGTAGGACGGGGGGGGGAATAAAATACCGGAAGGAAAGAGGGGAAAGGGGGAGGGTGCGGGCTTCAGGATAATTGTAGCCTTTATGATACCTCCCTTGCTCCTGCAGTTCTGTAGCCAGCAGCATGGAGGTGACAGACTGCATTGCTTCGTTGGAGCAGCATGTCCAGTTGCAGAAAGATGATATTCAGCTGCTCAGGTCAGCTCTGGTAGACATGGTGAGGCGCTTGAACATAACAGAGGAGCAGCAGGCCATACAGAAAGTGGGTGGGGCCAGCAGAGCTTCTGATTGGCCACTGAAGGTCATCCAGGAACTGACAGATCAGTTGCTTCTGTGTTTTGATTTTTGATATTGATATTACATGCAGTAATATTTAAGATAGATCCTGACTCTATGCCAGGAGAACATCAAATCTGTGCAAGGTTCAACAATGTTCAGCATCTCTATAGTCATACAGAATAATACCATGCAAAGCTATTCGTTTTTCTGAAACTTTTTTTTTTTAAAAGCAAGCAACTATTGGCATTCTGGAAAGGTATGCCATGTGTGATGACAGGTCTGAGCTAGCATTTAACAGCCAAACGTAAATCCTTGTAGATTCACATTTGTGATTAGAGACCTGGTCTATGAGTTCAAACGGACTTTTATTGTAAGGAATGTTTCTTTCTCCCATGTATGTCCCCTGCGGGCACAAACATTTCTTTTGAGGTCAGAACATTTTCTATCTTGTTATGTAGTTTATTGATTCAGCTGAACAATGGGGATTGTACTATTAACTCCATCCTTGCTGGCAGGATTTTACTATAGCCATATAGATTACATTCAGAGTGAGAATTCTGCCATGCATTAATGATTTTCCACAGTCATGGCATCATTCTAGTTCTGTAACCAACATTACTGTTCTGACCCTAAACTCCATGCCTATATTCCATATGTAAGCAAAAGCATAGCACTGGGGGCTGAAGGTCCCAGCAAAATTAATGGGTATGATGGTAATGGTGGTTGTGGTGGTGGCAGCAGCAGATGATCAGATACTAGATCCTTTGATCTTAGTGCAATTTTAGTGTACAGTAGTTAGTATCATTTGCACTTCTAGGAGCAAAGTGGAAAGAAAAGCCAATAACCCTTTGAACCAAAGAATACATAGCAACACCATCGACACCCTCAATCACGGCACAGCACATTGACAAGACCTCACCACCTCTTCCTCAATGCTCTGCTATGACAGCTTCACTCATCTTAATAAGGCATTTTATGGGTGCCACTATGCAAATGGCAAAATCAACAACTTCTTGTATATGGACCTTCTCTCTTATGGAATGGTCTGCCTGATAAAGTCAGGAAAGTTGTCACCCTACTGGCTTTCTGTACGCTATGCAAAGCTGAATTATTCAGGAGGGCTTTTTGCACAGGAAATAGTGTTGCACTGTAGCAATATGGTTCAGAAAGATACTCAGGGTAAAGGGTTGGGAACAGTACTGCTGGGTATAGGTTGTAGTATCTATTGCTGTAAGCAGGCTCCTACCACGTAATTTCTTCT